AGCAAATAATTCTAAACTTTGCAATATGCATTTAATATAGCAAGATTAAACGCACCTAAATTACAGTGTGTTCTCATGTCATCCCTTGGAAGCACCCTGAAGCAAGGCCACCCTGAATTTTCAGCTGTTTCTAATCCCAGCTGAGAGATAAATCTGGAATGTGGTATTTGGGGAAATCTCTTCTGCCACTACTTTTAGCCTGAGCGTTGCAAAGGAGGCAATGGTTTCATTTTGCAGAGAGCAGAAATCCACTGATTTACGTGGGCTGCCCTTTGAGCTCATGTGGGATACACCCAACAGTGGCTGTGACACCTGTTTGGACCTTGCCAGCATTTGGAACTTCCCCTAAACCCCCAGAACAAGGCAGAAACTCACCAGGCAGCATTTGGTGAGAAGATACAATTTTGAAATGGGCTGCTTAGAGGAGCACATTACACCCCTCAGCTTTAGCTGGGTCTGTTCACCTAACGAGGCTCCCCAGAGGGACCTGTGGGGTGTGGGACAGCGAGATCAGGACACTTCCCTCCTGTTTAATCACCTTTTGTGGGCTGATGCTGTTTCTGGGGAGCAGTGGTGCAGGTGGTTGCCAGGCTGGCTCCCTGTGCCTGAAATTAAATGAAATGAAAACAGCCTGAATTAATCACCAAAATGACAGAGAGCTGTCCCAGCGAGGGCTGGCTGAGGAGCTCACCCACAATATTCAGGATATATTTAGTGGGTGCTAGAAACTGATCTCATTTTTGATTGAGACACAGGGAAATAATTCAAGAGCTCATCCATTACAATCTTTTGCTGTTTCAGTTTCAAGATTCCAATAATATGTCATTATAATAATGATAATTCACTGACTTTGGAAGAAATAAAATGGGTAACATTTACTAACAGCACAGGGATACACCAGATTGCAGTGAAATGCTCAGACAAAGCTTTTTCCCATTACCTTCCAACACCAGCATGGTTAGTCCTCTTTCAGCAAAGTCTGTTCCATCACTGTTTATTCTACTGAGGAAAATCTAAAAAAATGGATAAACTTTTAAAGATAAATACACTGACACAAAATTCAGCACACCGCACGAAGAGCCCCATTCTACCTAATTGTGCACAGGGTGATAATTTAGCACTGATTAAAGAGTTTGTATTTTTTTCAAATCTTTTTTAAAAGGAAAATTACTTCTGAAGGTGAAGATGTGCTTAGACAATCATATTAACATATTCAAACAATTGTAATTTGCAAAATAGTAATTACAACTCACTATCTGGTAGCATTAATCAAACTTCAAGGTTTAATTCCATTTTAAATATTGATGAAATGTGATTCTCCAATCTAACCCTGGTGTTGCAGGGTTATGGAAGCAGCCAGTGGCAGAAAAAGAGGAACGTGTAGTTAACAAGCAGCTGCCACAAAGAAGGATCGGCATCTGTGATTTAAATTGTTAGCTGCACAGTCAGGTAGAGTGTAAAAAGGGTAGTCAAGAGGCTGTTAAGTCCATTGCTGCCAATTACTAACAATCAGGGAGGAGCTTTAAGACTTGTTCAGTACAATAAACCCAGTTTGTCTTGTTTCAGGGGTTACTACTGAAGAGGTTGCAGCTGCACTGATTCAAATAGCCCTAAAACTACAGTAATTATCAACCAGTCTTCTTTAGTGTAGCAAAAGTATGTTTTACCATAGCTTAACTCTTTACATTCTAATATTTCCCTGCCTCCTCTCCCATAGCCAGCCCTGGAGCCATTCTCATCCCTGGGCTGTGCTTCTTCTCCCTAGCCTGGAGCAATTCTTTCATTTCCCCTTACCTAGACCGAGGAGCAGCTGTACATCACACTGGGCTGGATGGCAGTCCTAGGGATTTACTTCGTGTTCAGTCATCCCATCCATTTTTCCTTTTCATGCACAAAGTTGAAATTCACATCTCTCATTCAGTTTTTACATCTGGTTAAACTCCATGCAGGTTAAGCAGGGCTTATGAACATGTGTTTAATTTGCACAGGCTCAGATCACAAACCAAGACATTTTGGGATCAGTCTGGCAGGGCCAAGATCCTTGGAGTGACTTGTCCTGGTGCTTTCCTAGGAGCCCAGGAAATCCCAGAGTGCAGAACGAGACAATCTGGGCAAACCAGGGGCGTGCTGGAAACCTGTGAAGCCAAGTTAGCATCTGCCATTCTTTGTGCTTAAGCCCTTGATGCTCAGCTGAGTGAGAGCTGCCAAGGGCTCAGTCAGCCTCGGGCTGGTTATTTCTGGCACTCAGGTGAGCCAGGTGTGCCCAGCTGCCAGCCAGGCATGGTGATGCACAGCATCTCTGTGTCTTCTTATTCCTTCACCATGACAGAAACAGACAAAAGTTTCCTTTACATGCAGTTATGACAAGCTCAGTTAAACTATCTTTTTGTTTTAGTTAAGGCAATTCCAGCTCAAACCAGGGAGCCACACAGAGTGGACAATATCTGTCACAGGCAAGGCACACGTGATACATCTCCAACACCTCGTGCATAGAACAAAAGCCAGCACTGATTATGGCTTGGATGTTGTTTTTAAGAAAGCTGAAGGACCACATTTGCATTCCTGTTGCAGCCCTCGGTGGAATCTGCCTGTGAGAATTGCATGGTCTTTAAGCAAGATTCTGTGCTCATGTTTTTAATTTCCCTTTTAGCATATTTTTTTTTCAGCATCTATTTTCACCTACTTTACACCCAAATTAGAAATGTGCCATTATCAGGATATTTTTTATGGATCTGTGGGTCTCTAAGGAATAAAAAAAAAAAAAAATCAGTGAAACACAGAAAGAGCTGAACTTAGCTATTTCATCCAAATGATGACTGTTTTGCAGTCATTACAGCAAGCACCTTGGCACCATTCCTGCCTGCACCAGGGTGCAGCAGAGCTGGGTGTGAGCAGCACCTCAGGTGTGCACCCAACCCTCAGCCAGCAAGGAGAGAAAAGGGAGGGCAGCATAGAAAAAAAAAGAAAAGGAAGAAAAGAGAAAAGACAAAGCTTGATTCACAAGCCATCACAGGATCAACCTCCAAGTTTGTGCATCTGAATTTGTCACAAACCCCTCTGAAACTTCTTAACCTAACACTTCATTCCCAGCACCTTCCTACCCTTTGCATTTCAAATGCTCCTCTGTCCCTTCAGCATAACGGTACAACTCCACAATCAAAAATCTCCCCAAAAATCTGACTCCTAGAGAAGCAACATGCTTCCTTCTCCATTTTGTTTTGCCTGCCCAGGCAGGGGGCTCAGCAGGGTGACAAAATGGGACCATGATGGTCCCAGGGGTGACACCCCCTCATCTGCTCTCGTACGTAACCAGGGCTGCCACAAACCCTCAACATTCAGATTTTTACACACAAAGCAGCTAATATGAATTGGTTAAGACAGTGGTAAACACAAGAAGCAGTTCGAATATATTTCATTTGTATAAAAATAAATACAGGTATTGTTGTAAGTAATACTTTGATTTTTTTTTTCCCCCAAGGCTTTTTGAAGTCTGTTTTTCTGGTTTAATACACAGATCTCTTTTCTCCTACACAAACACAAAGGAAAAGGCTGCAGAACAGTTTTTGGAGACAAGACAATTTAAATCCCTGAAATTAAGAAGCCACAACTTAACATTCACCAAGCTATTTTTTTGTAAATCATGCAGAAAATTACTATTCAAACTTTGCTGGTCAGTTGTTTTTTCCTACATTGTCTTTGCTTTTATTTTCTTTCCACACTGTCATTATGCTCTCAGAATAAATACGACAGACATGAATACTAACAAGGGACACAGGAGTTGGTCTAAAATATCTCTCAGCCACTACATCAGCTTATCAATACCTGCCACAACATACATCCCAGAAAGAGCATGGAAAGAAAAGCTCCAAGACGAGAACCTGGCATTTTACTGACAATTTTTCTTTACCTTCACTTTTTATAAACCAACAAGCAACACAGCCAGAGTATTTTAAAAACGCCTATCTTCATTTCTGGTAGTTTCAGCATTTCTCCTGCGTGTTTTGCCCAAAAAGGCAAAATGTAAAATCTGTGCATGTAAATCTGGTGGCTCACCCAAGCTAAGCTGATCAAACAGATGAAAATCAGTCCTTGCCACAGAGCCAGTGCCTCCTGCCTTGACAAATTCCCACACAACAGCACACAATCTTTTAAACAAACACCAAAAAAAAAAAGTGTTCTAAGATATGCCAATGGCTAAAATATTATTTATTTTTCAAGGGAAAAATGGCTTGTTTGACTGGAGCCCAGGGGTGCAGGGAGCAGTGTGGCACAGGGATATTTAAGGTTCCTTTCTCTCCCTTTCAGACGATGATGAGCATGAATGGATCCTTCGGACCTGCCGGAAAGCCTGGGATTTAACAGCTGAGGAGCAACCAAAACCATCAGACAGCCTCTCCTAGACAATATTCCAGCAAAGCAGGTAATCTGATTCACAATAAATGCAATTTGTCCTCGTGGATTTGTCTCACCCTTTCCCTCGACAGGAATATAATCTTTCTGTCATCTTTGTCAGCTCAAAGAAAAATGGAAATAATCATTTAATCAGTCATGCTGAGCAAAAGCCACGGCAAAAAAGCCGACTGTACTCACAATAATATTCCTGAGAGGTGTGCAGTGTAGTATGTATAAACATTATTAAGCCTGAAAACAATTTGTTAAAAAGAGTGCCTCGGATTCGGTGTTGAAGTCATTCAAATCCATCTTAATCAACATTATTTTCCCAGATTTTAGTTAGCTGTCCTGGTGAATTCCTTTCCTCTCTTTTTGCTCAGTACTTTGATATTGATTGATCATTGTAATAATGTACACCAGAGGTATTCTTTAATGACGGGTTTGCTAACTAGGAAATTATATCCATTTACTACGAACGTTTGTTGAACTCTCCTGAAGCCAGAGTTTAACAAAATAATAAAAGAGGAAAACTGGGTGGGTTGCTGCTTGATTAGTAAGCCAGAAAGTATTTAAAAATAAAATAAAATGGAATTACATCATTTTCTGGATGTAAGTGCCAGCACTTCTACTTGCATTAACTTTATTTATTACACAAATAAGACATTTACAAAGCACAACATTAAAAGTATGTAACAAAACAGACATTGGTTTTACAAAAAGTGCTTACAATTTTGTTTTACTTTTTTAAAATAAATATTAGTCTTGACTGTCCACTCATTCAGAGAAAAAATTTTTTAACCATTGTAGCCAAGACATGCAGAATTGCAACATGCTACAACAAAATGATTGGCAGATGAAATAAAACTGGTGTTGAGTTGGCATCCTACAGATAAATCACTGATAGTAGTGCAGGATTGGTTCCCACTCCCTGTCCCAACGAGTGAGTTCTGTAAGCACCTTTAGCTCGGGCATTGGGCTGACAGCATGAGCCAGGAAAAACCACTGGAGATAAAAGCTGAAACCATCCCTCTGCCAGAGCCGAGCTCTGTTTTAGTCACCTTATTAAACTGGAGTGAAGAGCCTTTCCCTGGCTGTCTTCAGTGGATTCTGTCTGCAAAAGGGTTTGTAAATAGCAACTGGAAAAGTTTAGTGCGTGGAGTCTGCATTGCTGCACCAGAACCCATCTGGCAATTACTGAATAAACTAAGAAAATGAGAATGACTTTAATTTTATTTTTTTTTTTAAATCCACAGACAGGAGATGAATGCAAATGACCTGAGATAAGGTTTGGTTCAGTGGCAACAGTCAGTGTGAAATATGTTGTGAAACAATGTATTGAATAAATTAGAAGATTTCTTACATTCTTGGTACAGTTGAGTATTTTCCATACACATAATTAGCTCTAAAACTGCACAAGCTGAATTGCTTCCAGTTTTTGCAAACAATTTGGGCTTAATATAAACAGAGCCTGATTTCTGAATTAGCAAAGCTGCTCCTGGCTACTTATGGGGGGAAGTGCCCCGAGCACAGTCTGTGGTGAGCCCACATCCCTGGAGAGAAACACCAACATTCCCTGGGCCCTGCCATGGCACTGCTTACAGACCCTTGGATATCCAGGACATTCCCAAGTGGGGCTTTTCTGATCCAGTTGGTATTTAGCAGATACATATTTCATAGTTTCCCTTTCACTGCATTGCCAAGACAGGAGGGAGAAACACATCAAACCCTTTTCTCCCTCAACAGAGCAGTTGTGGCAGTCTCAGAGACTGTGGGATGTCAGGGCAAGCTGCAGCCTGAATCTCTCCTTCTGTGTCAAATGGAATAACTACCCATCCCTTTATGGCACTAATTCCACAACTAAATGGTCATTAGGATGTGCAAGCACAAATGGAGAACAAAGTCAGGCCCTGGTGATCCCCCACGAGCACCTCAAGGCTGACACAGCAACCACCTCAGCCTGTGATGACAAACACTCACCAACTGCCAGCCAGGGGAGCACTCAGCCTTCCCTCATTCTATGAAAAGGACAAAAAGGATGCACCTGGAGCACCTGGTGACTGTCCCCTCCCCAGGGGACACCTCTGCAGAGGTGGCTCCAGTCAGGTCAGTCATGTGGCAGCACCTCGTTCACTGGTGACACTCTGGAAATGGTCACTCACACATCTGGACGTGACAATAACATTTTGTGGACTTAATTCCCCTCTCTCCTTTCAAATGTTACTTTGAATTGGGACTAGAGCTGCTGGCTGCAGTTTGGCAGGTACTGGCCCAGCTGTCCGAGGTAGTGCCATCACTCTCAGTACACAGACACACACAGGAGGGTGTGTGTGTGTGTGTGTGTGTGTGTGGATTTGCTCCAACCAATATCAAAGTGTGTTGTACTCAGTTCCTTCCCAAGCCAAGAGACCTTGGTGCCCCCTCAGCAGAGTCCCCATCTCCCCACGCTGCTCCCAGGGTGTTCCTGGTGGCTCAGGGCAGCCTGTCTGCCTGCTGGTGTCACACAGAGCACAGGGACACGGCAGGAGAAGGCTCCCCACGGGTGCAGTGTGGGCTGCCCAGAGCTGGGGATGGCTCCCACCTGGATTGACCCAGGATCTCCCGCAGAGGAGAGCACGAATATCTACAGTTCCCATTAAAAACAAGTTATGTAACAGATGGATTCCCATCTCCTGCTCCTCAGGCACGGCTCAGTCACATCCCTCACTGCTGTGCCTCAGGGGAGGCTTTCACATTCTTGGAAGAGCAGCCTCACAGACACTTCACAGCAGGACAGACCCATGTGCTTGCGTGGAGAGAGCCTTTGTTACAGACCTGCTCCTGGCTCGGTGCAAGCTGAGAAGGGCTGGCAGAGGTCTCTTGTTTACTTTTTGTTATTACCATCAACGAAGGATGGGATGGTTTTGGAGTCCTTTTCCTGACTTGGGGCCAGACTGCTGAGCTCTTCCTGTGAGCCCAGCCATTCTCCTGGGATGCACCCTCATCCCAGGGCCTGGGACAGCCCAACCCCAGCAAGGGAGACCAGGGGGGCAGAGGGGATCCGAGCCAGGCTGCCAGACTAAGGAACATGCCATCCCCTTGCTGTCCCCTTGGCTACTGATGGTTCCTGCCGGCCTCACTGTGGCTTTCACCTTTTTAACTCCAGTCTCTACCCAGCTCTTCCCACTGACTGAACTTGAGTCCACAGCAGGGCAGAACATTTCTACACCTTTATGGCCACCTTCCATCGAGCATTTCCCAGTCCCAGAGTATGGATTGTCTGAGAGTTTTCTGTAGGTACATTCTTAAATCACCCATTTGTGATCCAATATGACTCCAAGGAAATAAAGTAGCTTGTTAATAAAGAACGAGAGTAAAAAAACTTTAAAAAAAAAAAAGATTTGGCAGATGGCTGTGAGAGGAGAGAGATATTCAGTGTTCTAAGAACAAGTCAGCAATCAAAAACTTCAGGGTGCTAAACCTGGCTCTGCCACCAACCCTCATGGTTCCTCTCAGTTTAGGACATCTCTGCTTCCCCTCCTATAAAACGGGGGGAAAAAACACTAAGATTTACTTACCTTTGAGTGATCAAAGGACATGTGATTCTAAAGCACTTTGAGGAGGAAGAAAAACTGCCTATTTCCAGCTGGCATCATGTTTTCCACTCAGTGGAGTCTCAGCTACCTGCGAGTTTGGCTCAGGCAGGTCTGTCTATACATCGAGTTGCTGAGCCAAAAAGCCAATTTCGGATTTCACACAAGCGAGTGGAAAGAAGGAGGGACGTCCAGGAACTGCTTCACTGGTGCAAGAAGAGAATCAGGCCAAACCACGAAAATTCCTCCTTCCTTTGTGTCCAGAGGCGATCATCGACCGCCCTGAGACTCGGCGTGTTCCGGGCTGTCCGTATCCCGTGGGTTTGGGAGCAAGACTTGCAAGCACAGCAGAGTCACCAGTTTTGACTGTGTCTGGCACTGCCTTGGAGAGACTCACGGTCATTCTACAAGTCCACAAGAAACAAGTGTAAAATGTGACTGTGCACTCAACACACACATACACAGAGTGTCGCTGGAGGAGTCGGAGCGGGCGCGAGGTGCTGCTCAATGGAGGAGCTGAGAGTGCTGGGGCTGAGCTGCTCCCGCGGGGCCGGGCGCTGCCAGCGGCTCAGGGGCAGCTGAGGAAGAGTCCTCGCAGTCAGTACTGGAAGAGGATGACCTGGGGGGAGAAGGGGAGTGTCAGCAGCACAGCCCTGGCCATGGCCGAGTGCTGCAGGGAGCAGCAGAACGGGCTCTGCAAGGGCAGCCACCTCCTCTCAGAGGGAAAACCCTCTCTGGATGTGCCCTCTGCCCAGGAGCTGCCAGCCCTGCCCAGGGAAGGAGCCACCCCCAAGGAGCCCAGGTGGGAGCTGACAGGAGACACCTTTGGCTGTGGAACCAAACACAACCGGGCAGCACCCCAAAAACGGCACTTCATTCATCTGTGCTGGGATAGAGCAGCTACCAAAAGGGACAGAGGCCATGCCCAGCAATCCTGAGTGCCCACCTCCCTCAGTGACCAGCACAGGCTGCCCTCCAACACTGCTCTGCCCAGGGGAAGCAGCTGCTGGGCTGCTCACAGCTCAGCTCTCACCAGCCACTGCTCTGAGCACCCCCAGAGGAGGATGGGGCTGCCCCACACACACTCAGCATGGAAATGTGTTTTCCCAGGATCTCAGCTATCTCTGCTTTCAAAAATTTTTGGATGTGGGGGATAAAAAAAAAAAGCTACTTCAGTTTTCAGGAATTCAACATGCAAGAGATTGTTTAGGAAAGGATCTGGTTGGGGGGCAGCTCCGTGTCCTGAGAACCTTGTTCTGCAACAGCTGTGAGCCAGTAATTGCATTTAAATCAGGAGCTGCTTGCTGCAGTGCAGCCTCCCTAACAACAGCACAGGACTGTATAATATTATCTGAAAACTCTGTAGCTTGCTGGGCACATATGACAAAATGGTAGAATTTAAACTGAAAATGTATCTTTGCTGTGCCACTGCTTCTGCCCATTAAAACAGAGCTCAATGAGCTGCTGCACTGGGAAGAGAGAGATCTGAAAAGAGAGGTGCTGATAACTTCTAACATTAAAGACAAAAGCCAAAACCACTCTGAGTTGCCAAAGGCTCACTGTTCCCTGAGCAGGAACTCACTGAAACTGGGGTCCTAAATAAAATCTTCCAAACCCAGGCATGTCTGAGAAATCTTGCCCCCAATAAGCTGTGCGTTAGAACAGATACTGTAAGAGCTGAACACAAAAATATCAACATGCAATATTTTCTCCTGGCCAGATATTGTGAAATAACATTCCTGCTTCAGATATTCTAACAGCCAGTTGTTGTTATTTTTAAGCAATACTGCAACCCACAAGAAATGAATCTTTTTTGTTAACTCGTGGAAAACTGGGAAGTTAGCACATGCCAGAGGTGTCCCCTGCTCTGTTGTTCACAGCCAGGTGCTGCTCACACTGACCACGGGTGCAGACATCTGAGGAATGGAGCAGGCAGAGCTCAGGGCAGGGGAAAGCAGGGAGGATCCAGCAGGAGGATGTGAGAGCCCTCAGTGGATGCAGGCACAGAGTCCCAGCAGGTCACAACAGCAATGGGTGCCCAGGGAAAACACAGTGATGCCATTTTTATCAACAGTGGGTACATCAACCTTAGGGCCCCCAAAACTAAGGGAAGGCACAGGGGTGGGTGGCAGCTGTGGAGGTCATGGAGAAGCAGTGATGCTGACAGGAGACAGCAGTGATGTTACACACAAATCTTTGCTACAGCGAGGGCTGGCCCCAGAGCCTGGAGCAGGGACTACATTTACCTTCTCACCCCTATTAGACAGTGGTCCTTCCATGTCTGCTTTGAGGTGCACTGGTGGAGCAGTGTAGGGAAGTCTACAGTGCACTTGTCCACACTGTACCTGACCTGTGGATGAGAAGGGGCTTCAGCCTCTGTTACTGCAAACAACACAGCCCAGAGCCCACAGCAACACAGCAACAACACAGCCCACAGCAACACAGCCCAGAGCCCACAGCAACACAGCCCACAGCAACACAGCAACAGAGCCCACAGCCCTCCGTGCGGCACGGCCAGTGTCACCGGGACACAGGGGAGCAGGCAGGGCTGGGGCACAGCCCTGACCCTGTGGGGAGAAACCTCACAAGAGCCACAGAGCCAAAACCTCTGCCCAGGCACGACCAAAGCTGCCCATCACTCACAAATCATCACTTGAATCATTTCACAGGGAGCAGAGAAAGCAGGAAGGAGACCACTGACCACTGACCCCCACAGGGCACACCCACAGCTCTCTCCCTGACACAGAGAGCACAGGGGGACCGAGGAGCAGGCAGTGAAACCCAGGCTTTGCTGGGGATGAGTTGATCCCAAGGGCAAAGCTGATCAGACACGAGGAGGAGCAGCAGCAGCAGGGGCACCATCCCCGCACCCGCAGCACCGGGAGGGTTTTGGCACGGCCCCAGCCCTGTCCCATCCCTGTCCTATCTCAGCTCCATCCCAGCCCTGTCCCATCCCCAGCCATGTCCCATCCCTGTCCTATCTCAGCTCCATCCCAGCCCTGTCCGAGCCCCAGCCCTGTCCCATCCCTGTCCTATCTCAGCTCCATCCCAGCCCCAGCCCTGCCATCCCTCACTTTCGATGTATCCGTGCAGCGTCACCATCCGGGCCCGCTCGGGGCTGCTGAAGGGCGAGTAGTGGATGTCATCGGACAGCGAGGAGGGGATGCGGGACGGGGGCGCTCCCGAGGGCGGCACCGTGTGCTGCGGGGTGTGTTTTTTATGGCGGGCTCTGCAGTTTTGAAACCAAACCTGAAAAGAGAGCAGCGAGCGCTGTGACAGCTGAGAGACAGCTGGGTTAAAACGTGGTCCTTCACCATCCTGTCCTTGGATGGGTGTTTCTTCCAAGTTTTTACAAAAGGGATGAAAAGCAGCAGATATGAGATTTCTAATCTAATCTCACTGCTTCTAATTAAAGGAGTAGTTTGGGAATTCCATCCTAGAGTTGAAACATGTATGGAAATGTTTTTTTTGCTTAAGAGGTGATCTGTTTCTTATGCTTTAATTTCTTAAAGATAGCTGTGAGTAAAAACCTTCTCCAAGAGTGACTGAAGATCAGCTCTCCAAGGCAGAGCACACTGGACCATAGAGAAGGAAACAGTCTAAGTATTTGACAAATTGTTTCCTGTTCAAAGTGCCTTTAAAAAACATTCACATAAAAAATCACCCGGTGTGCAGCCTGCTTGATCTTTGCTAAATGAAGAATCTCAATAAACAGAGGCTCAAGCCAGATTTTCACACACAAAATTTAAGAGTGTCATTGGCAAAACAATCTCAGGTGAAAGCTCCAAATTTATTTCAACCACTCGTGTTTTTATTGTACGCAGAAAGTGTGTGTGCAGAACCTTACAGTGATGAGCACAAACGTCACCAAGAGCTGAGCTGGGCTGTGTGGGAGCTGCAGAGGGGACACTTCTCAGTCCCTGCAACACCACCTGCCCTCCCATCCCACATCAGGGTGGGAGCTTCCCTGCCACAGAGTCCCCTGGAGCTGCAAAATTCCTTTTTCTTTAAACTTCTCCATGCCAAAGCTTCCTGACTCTGCCTCTGTGGCAGGGGCGGCTGCCGGGGGAGCTCCCACACTCCTGGCTGGGACAGAGCTCAGCTCCAGGACCTGCTGCTAACAGCAGCTTTCCCACCCAGTGATTTACTGTGCATGGCTGGGGCTGTTGGGGCTTTGATTCGTTGCATCATAAGAGGGAAAAACAAATAGGAAACCCACAAGTGAGACAGAGAAGGAACGGCGCTGGCCACTGGCACTGCTGTGGGAGCAGAGCTGGCACTGGGGAGACAGCTCGGAGTGCTGGATGGATGCTGAGGAGCCTGAGGCTCTGAGTGTGCCCCTGGCTGGTGCCAGCTCCAGGTGCCCCTGCCTGCCCATGGTGGCCAGCCCTGCTGTCCCTGCCTGCCCTGCCTGCCCATGGTGTCCCTGCCTCACCTGAATGACTCTGCGGCTCAGCCCCGTCATGTCCGCCAGCTTCTGCAGCGTTTGTGCGTCGGGGTTGTTGTCCTGAGCGAACTGTGCCTGCATCACCTGTGGGGAGAGGAGAGCAGAGCAGAGCAGAGAGGGGCTCGGGGGAGGCTGGGGAGCCCCGGCCCCGCAGCCCCCCGGCCCTCCCGCCTCACCTGCAGCTGCTCGGCCGTGAAGGAGGTGCGGGCTCTCTTGGCTGGCTTGGGCTGGCTGTCCTGCTCCGAGGGCACAGCCCCCTCCAGCGTGATCCCATTGCCTGCAGGAGAGAACCCTGTGAGGCACAGGGCAGAGCCTGCCTGCCCCACCACCTGCAGCAGCTGCTGCTCTGGGGGACACTGCACCTGGTGGCACCACAGCGTGGGACACCCAGGGCATCCCCTCAATGGAGGGACACCGCACCTGGTGGCACTACAGCCTGGGACACACACGGCATCCCCTCAATTGAGGGACAACAGCCCTGGCATCACAGCCTGGCACAGCCAAAGCACCTCCTGCTGCAGTGGGAGCTGAAGGAGTGGAGCCAGCACAGCCACCCAGGAGCTGCTCTGGGCTGCTGGGCCCCTCCACACACAGGGAAGGAGAAACAGCCATTACCCAAGAGTTTACTGTGGAATGAAGAAAAATGCAGCAAGTGGTGGAAGCCACAGGGAATAAGGGGAGGCAGCAGCAGGAAGAGGTCGAGGTGGTGTGTGAGGGCAAGCACTGATGTCCCTCTGGCCCTGATTCCCGGTCACCCCTTGGCCACATTCTCCAGGGAGTGGCTGGGAGGGGACCCTGTCTCTGCCAGGCTCACCCACATCCATCACTCCTGCCCCTTGCTGCCCCCTGTGACCCCGTTTTCCCTCGTGGGCTCTGCCTCCATCAGCCCTTCAATTTGCTCAGAGCATTTCAATGGGCTCCTTGCTCCTTTCCCCAGCCCCAAACTGTCCCAGCACCTTCACCTTCCTCTTCCTCCTGGGCCCCAGAGCAGCAGCAGGAGCAGCACCGTCCCCAGGGCCTTGGGGTGGCCATGCACGAGCAGCAGCCACACTAAGGGGACACTCCAGGGGGACAATCGAGGGGGACAGTGACCTCCCCCTTGCCCAGCCCCGCGTCAGGGTGAGCCCAGCCGTGCTCTCTCTGCGTGCAGCCCCAGAGAGTGCCCAGAGCCTGCTCCTGACGGGGCCCTGCTGCAGCCCGTGCCAGCCTGGCTGCTGGGGCAGGGTGGGTGAAGCCCCCCTGAGGGAGGGGCAGCAGGGATGGTGGGGGAGGGCAGCGAGCAGGGCTGGGCTCTTCCCTGCTCCCAGGATGCTCCTGCACGAGCTGGACCAGGCTGTGATTGTCTTGGCTGGAGTTGAAGGACTTTCTCATATAGTTTGACTTGTTCTTTTCGGATGATGAATGGGACTCTGACTTCAGCAACATCTGTTTATTTTTCTTGTATGTAAAACCTCATGTGCAGAAGAAATTGCTGGGTAATTACTGGAGGGGGGAGTGTGGCCCTGCAACTCCACAGCAACTGCAGCTCTCCAAAGTGATCCCACCCCCTTCTCAAAACCCCTTGGACACAGGTAGTGACACCTGACACTCCCCAGGTGCCCCAGCACTGCCCAACACTGGTGCTCAGCCCACACCAGCAGGTTGTTCTGAGCAGCAGCAGCAGCACATCCAGCATCCCAGCAGCTCTGCAGGACTCCCCGGTGCCAGACCCTGCTCTGCTCACAGCATTCTGTTCCCCCAGGACACGTGGCTTCTCCCCCTCCATCCTTGCTCCCCATCACCTCCCTCACGCCCCACAGCAGCTGACCAGATGGACCCACACGTCACAAGCCATGTCCTGAGCCAGGACCCTCCTTCCCAGCCCAACTGGGCACTCTGTTTCCATCCTCTTTCTCAAACACAGTAAACTGAACCATATTATTTTCCTGTCAGGTTGTTAATGGTTTCCACATGCTGCATGGGCCAGGCCATGGCGTGTCCCTCCCTGTGCCCACCATGTGCTGAAGCTCTTCCCACCACAGCACAGGCCCTGGCACTGCCCGGCCTCCCCGAGCACTACAAATCTGTTCCTCTGAGCACCTCTCTGGGCACTGCCATGCAGGAGGCTGGGGAAGGGACAGCAGCTGCAGTGCTGTGACCCCGGTGTCACCAGCTCAGCCGGCTGTGGCACAGCCCTGTCCAGCTGGGAGTGGCACAACCCCACATGGGCAAGGCGGGTGAAAAACGATGGGAAGGTTTTGTCCAATCACCAATCCCACCTTCTCCATTTATGACTCACAGCCTCAAATCCCAGAGGGTTCCTCACGCTGTGCACTCCAGGCTGTGCACAACCAGGCACTTGTCCCTGGCATTGCCCAGGGCACACAGGTCTGCCACGAACTGCAGGTGCTGCCAGCACATTGGCCACCCCATGAGCCCTCTGCCAGCCCAGGGCCTTGTGCTCAAGCTCCCCAGGACCACCCATCACCCCTTTTTGGCACAATAGAACCCTCCCCAACACCCTGTGCTAAGGATGAGCACGGGCACAGTGACTCCGTCCCGCTCCGTACCGTTCTCCGCCGCGCGCTTCAGGTTCTCGATCATTGTGTCGTAGTGGATCCGGCACAGCACCTTTTCCTCCACCAGGCCGAACTCCTCGCCCGTGGAGAGCTGCCTCTTGCAGGAGAAGCAGGCGAAGCAGGCCAGGTGGTAGGCATTGCCCCGCGCCCGCCGCACCCAGTCGCTGGCGTAGATCTGCCTGCCACAGCGGGCACACTTGGTACCGAACCGGCTGCGGGGAGAACAGACGGGTGAGGGCACGGAGGGAGGGCAGGGCAAGGGCAGCAGCACCATGCCAGGGTGCAGGTGCTCCTGCCAACCCCGTTATTCACCCCAATTCCCACAGCACCCGTGCATGCAGAGATGCAGCAGGGCTGCCCCAGTGGTGCCCGTGGCGTGGCAGTGTGGGCAGCAGTGTGGGCAGCAGTGGGTGTAACTCCCTGCAGCCCTGTGAATCAGCTTCCCAGCCCGTGGGTTTTTTATTTTGATAACAGCCAGTGTGACACTGGGATGGAAACTGTGTCAGAGCGGGTTCTCTCCCGCTGCCATAAATCAAACCATGTGTGTTCTCCTCACACGTACAGGCACACACATCTGCTTTTTCCCCCGTGGAGGAGGTCTCCTCACTGTGAGAGGATGATGACTGTGCTGGAGTGAGCTGTGCTGGAAGGTAGCTCAGCACAGTCAAGAGGCAACAAGACAGCCAGGATCCTCTCACCAGGTGATTGTGAGAAAACCCCCATTCCTGTCAGGAAGCTGATGGTCAAGGCAGGTGATTCACAGGGAGCAGCAGACGTGGCCCCCATGGCCCTGAACACCCAGGTCAGTGTCTGGCATGAGGTGCCAGGCAGGTTCCATATCTGCATTTTCAGTACTAGTGCTGCTTAAACTAAGAAATGCAATGAACAGCAGTGAGAGCAGCAGGAGAGAAGGGAGCATCTCCTCTGCCACCCCAGAGGTGGTACGGGCTCCAACACAGTCAGTGCACTTCCCCACACAGCCCCAGCACTGCCACTGTCCCCTCAGGCCCCGAGGGCTCCTGCCAGCCCCGCACCACAGTGGGAAGCAGAGCCACCACCAGCCCTGCCCGGGCAGCTCCAGCCTCTCCCAGTGCAGGCACAAAACACCGACAAGGAACAACGGCAGCAAGCGACATGAGAGACCCCACAGCACAAACCCTCCGGTTCAGAGGCCAGAGCAGCCCCAAGCTCTGCACACAGACCCAGGCCAGGCCACCAGGGCCAGTGTGCTGCCCCTGCCCGACCCCACACCGAGGAACTGCTGCCCACCATGGGCCCAGCAAGATGTGGAAATACTGTCCTGTGCTGGGATTACTAATAGCAAAACTATTTGGGAGGAAAAGAAGGGTCTAAATTTTTCAGCCTGACCATAGCTGACCAAAAAGAAGAAAAAAAAAAAAGAGGACATTTCTGTGCTGAAATTATACAGAGACTTAGCTAAGAGACTTCACTAATTTACTTCAGATGGGAACATTGTAAACTGACTTTGTGCCAGCTCGTTTATATAAACGCACAAACAAAAGAACTGTATTAATTTTTTATTTAGAAATAAAGATCATTCCTGTAAATTGAATTACTTTGAACAATGTGCTATGTAAACAGTGGTACTTGCTGAGCAGTATCAGGCGAGGGGCAGGCACACAGAGCTAATGGCACGTGGTGATCGCTGCTCCCCGCTCCAGCCCCAGCCAGGGGAGCACAGCACGGCCGGGGGAAACTGAGGCACCACTCAGAAAAAGTCACACAGCCCTGTCCCACATCAGCTGGGCCCTGGGGAGACACCCAGGCATCTCCTGAGGAGCGGGCAGGACCCCCAGGCTGGCAGCAGTGCCCAGGGA